AGCGAGTTATAGAACATTTTCACCGGGGGGGGCTAATGTAACGCGAGCCCCCCCCGGTTTTCCAACAGGTCCAATTTTTTAGCACCCAATTGCACCCACCTAGCACCCAACTTACAGAGCTAGCACCACACCCCCTAGCGAGTTATAGAACATTTTCACCGGGGGGGGCTAATGTAACGCGAGCCCCCCCCGGTTTTCCAACAGGTCCAATTTTTTAGCACCCTATTGCACCCACCTAGCACCACCTAGCACCCAACTTACAGAGCTAGCACCACACCCCCTATCGAGTTATAGAACATTTTCACCGGGGGGGGGGGGGGGCTAATGTAACGCGAGCCCCCCCGGTTTTCCAACAGGTCCAATTTTTTAGCACCCTATTGAACCCACCTAGCACCACCTAGCATCCAACTTACAGAGCTAGCAACACACCCCCTAGCGAGTTATAGATAATTTTCACCGGGTTGGGGGGGGGGGGGGGGGGGGGGCTAGTAATTGTTACTAAAAGTTTTAATGAGATATATATACATATAAATATGTAGGTGCAGGTACGGGAAACAAAATATAAAAAGACAATTTTCCTAAAAAACATTTATTTATTTTTTTCTAAAAGTTACACACAAAAAAGTTACAACTTAAAACAAGAATAAGCAGTTTTTTGAGAATATCTTAGGATTCGATATCCGCAAGAAAGTAGATGTTTGGAATGAGAATCGGATCAAATAAATAAACTATGTACCTACTTACTTCTTATTTTGAGAACATATTAAACCTCATTTGAGAATGCAGGTAAAGGTAGAGGAGTAGTAGCATGGAGTTTATAGTTTATAGTCCGGGAGAAAATAAGAAAAAAAAGGATGAAATAATTGCATTTTTATCGAAAATGGTGAACCACCAGCAACATATAAAGGTTCATGTAAAATTCAAGTAAAAAATCCATATTATTTCTTCAAAATTGGATATCTAGAGGCTAAGCTATGAGGAATAAACCTAAAAAACCTAGTATATTTGGATCAGAATTGAAAGGCTAATTGAATGAGTCAATTATATACGGGGTGTTCCATTTAAAAAGGTTTAACTTTGCTTTGCTACACTTTTGTGACACACCCTATAGGTATACTTGTAACTAACTTCATTTCAAAGTTTCTGATATTACCTACAACTTTCACATTTAACATTTCTGAGTATCTCTTCAAACTGCTGAGATAGGTGTGGGTGTAAAATATACACAATCACCCGATACAATGTTTTATGATAGGATAGCCCGTTAAGAGATTCTTTACCGTTAGAGATAGAGCTCTGTAAAGAGATGTTCACAATTCAGGTCGTTGGATTGCCTAATTGAGCCGGAAGTGAAATTTTGGTGGTAGCACTTGTTAGTGCTTCTGAAATAAGATTTTTTTTATCAAACCAACGCAAAGTTTGAGATAAATAGATGTTTATTATAAGATAATTTTCTCTTTTATTTTGTTTCCGCTACGGCTACCATATATTTATATTATATCTCATTAAAACTTTTAATAACAAGTACTTTACATAGAGAGAATTGATGCTTGCTCTTTTTGAATATTTTCTTGGTTTTCACATAAATACTTTATCGCCCTATTAACTACACAGAAAAATATTTAGAAATAGATATACATATAATAGTTATAAGATTAGAATTCTATATTATGTTCAATGTTCAATTGTCAACAATCTGTATTATGTTCTTCCTATATTATGTTTATTAGGCTTAATTTGTTATTCCTACTGGGGTTCCTTAGCTTCATCAAAATATTTTCCTTTGATATGCGTGTTTACCCATCAATGTTTGTTGTGTTTATTTTGGTATTGAGTATTAAAGACATTTTTCAATAAAAAATGAGTTTTTTTTATGAATTTAGAAAAATGTACCTAATTACTACTTCAATTGAGCCCAAATAACCATCCTTCCAAATATAGCTCATATTCGCTTTAAGCCAAAAATATAATGTATGACATTTTGAATTGTAAACATCTCTTTACAGAGCTCTATCTCTAACGGTAAAGAATCTCTTAACGGGCTATCCTATCATAAAACATTGTATCGGGTGATTGTGTATATTTTACACCCACACCTATCTCAGCAGTTTGAAGAGATACTCAGAAAAGTTAAATGTGAAAGTTGTAGGTAATATCAGAAACTTTGAAATGAAGTTAGTTACAAGTATACCTATAGGGTGTGTCACAAAAGTGTAGCAAAGCAAAGTTAAACCTTTTTAAATGGAACACCCCGTATATAATTGACTCATTCAATTAGCCTTTCAATTCTGATCCAAATATACTAGGTTTTTTAGGTTTATTCCTCATAGCTTAGCCTCTAGATATCCAATTTTGAAGAAATAATATGGATTTTTTACTTGAATTTTACATGAACCTTTATATGTTGCTGGTGGTTCACCATTTTCGATAAAAATGCAATTATTTCATCCTTTTTTTTCTTATTTTCTCCCGGACTATAAACTATAAACTCCATGCTACTACTCCTCTACCTTTACCTGCATTCTCAAATGAGGTTTAATATGTTCTCAAAATAAGAAGTAAGTAGGTATATAGTTTATTTATTTGATCCGATTCTCATTCCAAACATCTACTTTCTTGCGGATATCGAATCCTAAGATATTCTCAAAAAACTGCTTATTCTTGTTTTAAGTTGTAACTTTTTTGTGTGTAACTTTTAGAAAAAAATAAATAAATGTTTTTTAGGAAAATTGTCTTTTTCTATTTTGTTTCCCGTACCTGCACCTACATATTTATATGTATATATATCTCATTAAAACTTTTAGTAACAATTACTAGCCCCCCCCCCCCCAACCCGGTGAAAATTATCTATAACTCGCTAGGGGGTGTGTTGCTAGCTCTGTAAGTTGGATGCTAGGTGGTGCTAGGTGGGTTCAATAGGGTGCTAAAAAATTGGACCTGTTGGAAAACCGGGGGGGCTCGCGTTACATTAGCCCCCCCCCCCCCCCCCCCCCCCGTTGAAAATGTTCTATAACTCGGTAGGGGGTGTGGTGCTAGCTCTGCAAGTGGGGTGCTAGGTGGTGCTAGGTGGGTGCAATAGAGTGCTAAAAAATTAGACCTGTTGGAAAACCGGGGGGGGGGGGGGCTCGCGTTACATTAGCCCCCCCCCGGTGAAAATGTTCTATAACTCGATAGGGGGTGTGGTGCTAGCTCTGTAAGTTGGGTGCTAGGTGGTGCTAGGTGGGTGCAATAGGGTGCTAAAAAATTGGACCTGTTGGAAAAGCGGGGGGGGCTCGCGTTACATTAGCCCCCCCCGGTGAAAATGTTCTATAACTCGCTAGGGGGTGTGGTGCTAGCTCTGTAAGTTGGGTGCTAGGTGGTGCTAGGTGGGTGCAATAGGGTGCTAAAAAATTGGACCTGTTGGAAAACCGGGGGGGGCTCGCGTTACATTAGCCCCCCCCCGGTGAAAATGTTCTATAACTCGCTAGGGGGTGTGGTGCTAGCTCTGTAAGTTGGGTGCTAGGTGGTGCTAGGTGGGTGCAATAGGGTGCTAAAATATTGAGCCTATTGGGAAACCGGGGGGGGCCAGTGTAACGGACCCTAAAATATGGTCTCTTCTTCGGTAAGTTTAAGGAGGGCACAGCAAATCTCATTAATTTTGGTTGCTTCAAGTGTTTTATTGCTGGTCCTGAAACAATATTAAAAAAAAAACTTATTAATAATCAAAACAATTCACCTAATAAACGAAATTTTCTTTTTGTTAATCTTTCTATTAATTAAGATTTTAAACACTGTTGATTATTGTTTTGTTTTATACTTGGTTTTATATCCTTGGTAACAATGCTGATGGATTTGGTTAAGGGTCGCATGTATAGGTTCAGTTTAATCTTTAAGCCTTGGTTAAAGATAGGCGCAACCCATGTTCAATCCTAAGTCTAACGTTTAACCATAGCTTGAAGCATAAACTGAACCTATAAAATTGACCTTTAATTATTTTGTTGTTTGCATCTCGAAGGGTAAATTACTCCCAGTACCTGAGACCCTGAATATTTTACACCCTGAAAATCAATAATAGCAAGGATTTACAAAAACAAGCAATGTGGAGGGTCAACTACTGCAGGTACCTGAAAGGTCAACCATTGCAAGTACTGGAGTGTCTTTTATCTTGAAATAATGATCAAATAATTTATAGAAAATATTGCAACTCTTTCTATACCAAATTAAGGATGTCAAATTTATTTACCTCCTGCACAATAATCCTCGTTTCGGAAATGCTTTGAATACACACGCATATGTTTTGTAACGGGCTTCCCCATCAATATTGCGTTTGCCCAAGCCTTTCTTTTATCTATAAGCTCTTCCTGTCCTAGAGCATTAACAATTTTGACACGAATGCCACTATTTTTTTCAGGAAAATAGTGGAAATGAGTTTCTGGTTCCCTGCCTTTTTTTGAGTGGCAATCATAGACACAACAATTTGTGTTGTTATACCTAACGGCTCCAGACGACCCAGACGTTGATGGCATAGAACTCATATCACTAATGTTTAACTAAAATAGTCCTTAAAGAAGATAAATTCACAATATAATCACAATAATAACACAGCACAATCTCAAAAACGGCACGAATTCAACAGAATACCGGCATCGCATAACGTAAACAAACGGGCCATCGATATTGCTATACGCGTTTTCTTAGTTCAAATTTTTTCCGCCCAGAGGGCGTCTAGATTTTTGGAATCGCCAATAGAAAAAACATTGTATTTATGACTTGTTTTTTTTTCTACTAGCATACCTTCAAAAAACAAATAAGGAAAGAATTGTTTTCTGTCTGATTTCAATCCTGCTAGTTTATCATAAATATTTTGGCTCCAAAAATCATGAATGTCATGTTTGAAAAAATTTGATTGAGTTTTCTATCACATGAATACATACATAATTTTGTTGTGTATTTAATGTTCAATTATTTTACACAGCAAGACTAATAATAAAGCAGATATATTGATTGATTTTTCAATTTAGATGGTCAGGCATGGTGGCTGCCTTGGACTGGGTTTAGCAGCAATGGGCACCCACAGACAGGATGTTTATGAACAGCTCAAATTTAATCTATACCAAGACGACGCTAATACAGGTGAAGCAGCTGGTATTGCAATGGGCATGGTTATGTTGGGATCTAACAATTCATCAGCGATTGAAGACATGGTTGCGGTAAGTTAATATTTATAAAGTATCGGTTTTATAGTATAGTTTTTATTGCTCTACTTCTTTGTTTTTATTTATTCAACACAAGTCTTCAAGTTCAGATAATGTACTCTGAAATGATTGCATACACATTTTGGTAAAAAACTCTTTGCAAGAAAACACATTATGCAATTTGGAAGTACATTTCGGACCAACTAGTCTAGTATTATTGTTTGCTCCAGACTTTAATGGGAAAAATTACTTTTTTGATGAAATCTCAGGCATCGAAGATTAGTTCGACAAGTCAGTGAATTTCTAGTGCCTTGAAAAGTTAAGTTTGCAATTAATTTGCTTCGCTTTTTCTCTCTTGGGGATTTGTTCACGCTTAAACGTAAACTGAAGTTATTAACTTTTTTTACACAATGATTGAGTTGAATGAGAGTTTTCAGCTAAATTTTAAGTGATTCAAGTGAAAACAAACTCGGAAAACTTCGAATGTTTTCCTGTCTCTGTTCTGACATCCAATAAATAATTCAGGTTTAATTAGAATTACGCTCCAATTGGAAGTACCCCATTGGTTCAGGCAAGATTAGTATTATTAGTATTGCCATACTAAAAACCTTTTTGTCGGTTAATAGGTAGTGTCTGCAAAAAAAGTCCATGTTATTCTTATAAAATTACACAGATAGCCCTCTAAAACTCGTGTGTCTTGATTATCGATCGATTCCTATGTGCGTGAATATTCATGACTGACCTCGAAAGAATAATCCAAGCTGATCAAATTATCGCGAACTATTGCAGGCTTGAAACGGTATATAGGTGGCGCGACGACTGTAGAGCAGGGTTGGAAAAAACCCGGGTTTTTTTGAAAAAGTCCAGCCCGTCGGGTTTTTTTGGGTTTTAATGGGTTTTTTTGGGTTTTTTCGGGCTTCCCGGGGGGTTTCGTTTTTATCTTCAAATTTGATTTATAGTTTCTGCTCTAGCAAAAGTATTACAAAAATTATGACTTTTGTTGCAAAAAAAATAGCCTTACAAAATAGAGCAAGCCACTTGATATAAATAATTACACTTGGCATCAGTATTCAGTGCACTGCACCGCGCCTCTGGCTGGCCAGCTCAGAGACTCCGTGTCATGTAGAATTCTACATATCGACAGGATTCTATAGACTCGGCGCATTCGATATGTCGAATTCTACATGGCACGAGAGTCTCTGCCCAGGCCTGCATGCCAAACGCCAACAGTGAACAGCCAGGGATTGGGGAATCATCAGGTAATCCCCCATATTTTCTGTGAAAATGCCGCTCATTCAACTGAAAATTTGCTATTTTTAAAAAATTTATTTTTTATATTTGTCAATTTCACTTTAATGTCTACATTTAATTTTTTTTAATCTTTCTGATGAAGCTAAAGTTTAGCGAAACATGTTAAAAGTTTAACAAAAAATAGGGGAAATATATAAGTATTAAAATTTACTTAAAAAATCTTTTATTAGATAATGGATTTCCACCAAGTACAAGCCAATGACCTATAATCACAGATAGACAGAGTATTCCATTCATAAAATACTATTTGTTGTGTTGACAACATATTTATAGGCCAGGGCATAGAGAAATATAATAAACCAAGGTAAGAGTTACCGATTCATATGCGCCAAGTGGCAACGTATTTCTTGTAGCCCATGGTGGCGCTAGTATAGCTTGGAACTGTCTGACAATTCTGACATCGCCTTCCATTCTTATATCTGTCTCTATTTAAGAGATGTCATAATAAAGGAAGAGAGGAGTGAGAGGACATAGGGTTTTTTATTTATTACATTGCGATTTCTAACCCATAAATTGACATTTTCATTTTTCAAAACTGACAGAAATAAGTGACCTAAAATTAATTAGTTTCTTAAAAATACATGATTCTGGTAAGATTTAGAATGTTAAAATCCTTAAGTTCATGCGTAAAGAATGATAATTAAATACTAACCTACCATTAGCTGCTTATTTTTCTTTTTTTTGTTGTATTTTTTTTGCTGCAATTTATTAGTTACAAAGTTATATTTATGTATAATTTAATTTCTATTATTCTTTATTAATTTTCAAAGATCAAAATATATAGATTACTTCATGAACATGCTTTGATTATTTATTTTTGTTTCCCGGCCAGCGTTTTTCCACATTTTTTTTCTGTCGACTGCGGAAAAACGCTGGGCTAGATTTCTACCTTCAAAAATAACAAAAATATAATTTAAAAATTCAAAAAGCCCGCCAAATATTATTTAAGTTTGTCTTGTAGTGGATAGGGGCGCCAGTATCGATATGACGTCATCTCGATGCCAGTGTCGCACCACAGAATCGGTAACTCTCACCTTGGTTTATTATATTTCTCTATGGGCCAGGGGGGATTTGGGGTGAGGCGGTCCATGGTGGGGATAAGTCGCCCGATCCAAGTCCGGCCTCAACAGCTGTTCCCTGTCATGGACAAGACCCAATTGGTCCCGCCTCAAAACCAAAACGATGATATTCAAAAAGTTTTCCAGACTAACACGAACATATCTTATGTATCGGTCTTTTTTTAACATATAATAATCATCATCGCATAAGATAGAGACAACAAGATAGTCTGGGCGAGAACGGAATGTATTACTACGACAAGAAGGAGGCCGAGTTTAGTCTAGTGCTGTGTTGCCAAGTGTAATTGGAAGGCAGGACTTTATACCTGTGTTAGAAAGAGAAAATTAATATTCCTACGACTAAATGTGGCATTTTACTAGTGGGGGAGTTTGATCAAGATAGAAGAATCGGACATGTTGTCAACACATATTTTTGTTTATAAATCCGTCTATCTTTGATAATAGGTCATTGGTAAAAGCCGATTCAATAAAAAAAAAAATAAAAAAACCCAATAATGGTGGGTTTTATCAATTAAAAAAACCAAAAAAACCTACTGGGTTTTATAACCTGGGAAATTCTAAGCCAACCCTGCTGTAGAGCACTGAGAGCAGCTTTTGAAGTGGACAGTGGAGCGATCAGTTATGATGATATAGTTTTGCCAACAGTTGAGTATAATTGAAGTAGTTGTGCCTACTGTAGCAGTGCTAGTTTTGTCGTGATTTTTGTTTTATCTTGAATGTAATTTATTCAAGCGTGGAAAAGTGGTCTCGCATGTCTATAAACTCGGATACACAATAGTTGGTGTTGATGGGATCTGTGAGTAAAGAAATTTTAGTATAGTTCGCCTTACGAGTCTAGCACTAGGAAGTCTGAAGGGCAAGGGGGATAACGCCATTCATTTTGAGCTTTATGCTGCCTGTCATAGGAGTGCGCGCAGTGTTTTTAAATATTACTTTTTTCTTATAAATGTAGGTGTGTAACATAGATAAATATTAAGGTATTTTGTATTGGAAGTCAAATAGGCAATATTGCAATTTTTTATCTGCATTCTTTCCATAGTGCTAGACTCGTAAGGCGAACTTTATATGGTAAAGGAGAAGGAGACAAATGATGAAATAATTCGGGTGCTCACTTCATTGAAAACTGGTGACGAGAAACCAGAAAAACAAATACTAGGATAAAAATAAATGACAGTTTGACGCCTCTGCTAATGCAAATAGTATGGTAGATGAACAGTAAAAAGCAACTGTAGGCGCCTTATAGCCATTTGCACCACTATAACTTGAGGGATATTTAATCCAAGTAGTGCTTTGAATGTGTCTCTCGTAGAAACAAAAGCCACATTCAAAAGCTCCACTTAAATTAAATATCCCTTAATATCCCCTAAGTGATAGCGGTGCAAACGGCCATTAGAGCTGCGAAACGGAAACAGGTATCTCAGTCAAGCTTAGAGCCAGCTGCTCAAAAGCAGGGTCTAAGGCCTATCAAAGAGTTTCATAGTGACATCGATGGAATGGCGCGATTGACATATCCACCACCGCCTGAAGACTTCATTGAACAAATAAATGTCCACTACTTCATGGATAGATTAAGAGATATGGATCAGCAGCAAGCAATAAAAATGAGTACATGTAACAACCGATCCGAATTCGTTGTCCATGCACTGGAAATGTAGCTGTCCCAGTGGCGGCCAGTGGCAACCTAGTGTGGTTGTGCGCTCTTGGAAAATTTTTTGGAGGTGCCACGTCCTGTTTTACATTTATTTTGTATGTTGATTTTTTTTCTTTTTACTTTAGGAAAAATTATCGAAAACAAAAATATATGTATTTAAATGAGGCTTGAATGTTTGTATTCTAGCCATAATACATAATTGATATTGAAATTTATAATTAAAAAAAAAAACCGCGAACAACAGAGTTGTCAAACCGCCAAAATGGTGAAAAAACATCGAAATATTCTCGATTGAGTGGAAACAACATTAGAAGTGTGTATTCAAATAGCGCACGGCGCATCCCTTTCATCGGGCGACTTAAGCAGGACGCGCACTGAATCGACTCGGACCGGTCGACTCGGCGAAGAGCATTCGGTAGTTTTTGATACTCATGCAATTAAATGAGACTCCGCGCACGGCATCGGACTCGTCGACTCGACGTGGTCGACTCGAGTCTCATTTAATTGCATGAGTATCAAAAACTACCGAATGCTCTTCGCCGAGTCGACCGGTCCGAGTCGATTCAGTGCGCGTCCTGCTTTTACCGTATATTCCCGATCAATCGCACAGCGAGAAAACACATTTACCCAGAGCGCCGAACGATTCCACACCGACCACCCGGACCACCAGCACAACCAAGCGGGAGAAAAAAATATACAAGACAGGGCGCGCTTTAGTTCCGTTCGTGCGAATTTAAAAATAGAAAAATGAGTAGATATTTATCCTAATTTAGAAAATTGGGTAGGTATTTTTTAATTGAAGTTTCTTTTCTTTCCAAAATTTTAATTTTATTTTCTTGCTTGATTTTTGGAGGCAGTGCGCGCGCACGAGCGCACTTATTGAGAAGCCGCCCCTGAGCTGTCCAAATATCTCTATAAATTGAAGAACCAAGAGGGGGAAGTGAGGATATCCTAGAGAAGCCCGAACACTTATC